AAAAGGAGGTTAGAGAGAAAAAAGGGAATTATAGACCAGTAAGCCTGACATCGGTGGTGGGAAAGATGTTTAAAATCCATTATCGAGATGTTTATAGCAAAGCACTTAGAAAACAGTGGTAGATACAGACACAGCATAGATTTACAAAAGGCCTTGACAAGTCCTACTGAAATTCTTAAGGATGTACAGAGTACAATTGATGAACGAGAGCCCATGGATGTAGTTTATTTGGGCTTTTGACAAAGTTCCACATAAGAGATTAGTGTGTAAAATTAAAGCACATGGGATTGAGATAGTATTGAGCTAGAAAATTGGTTAGCAGACAGGAAACGAGTTGGAATAAATGGATCTTTTTCTGAATGGCAGGCAGTGACTAGTGAGGTATTGCAGGGATCAGTACTAGGGCCCTAGCTATTCACAAAAAACATTAATGATTTAGATGACAGAACTAAACATCATTACTCAATTTGCAGATGACACAAAGCTAGAAGGGTGAGTTGTGAAAAGGATCTCAGAAACCTATAAAATTCTAACAGGACTAGACAGGTAAGATATTCCTGATGGCAGAGGAATCCAGAACTAGGGTCATAGTTTAAGGATAAGATGTAAACAAATGAACAAATGAAAAAGTACAGCACAGGAATAGGCCCTTCGGCCCTCCAAGCCTGTGCTGACCATTATGCGCTAATTAATCTAAAAATAAACCTGCCATTTTTAGATTCATATCCCTCTATTCCCTCCCTATTCATGTACCCCTCTAGGTGCCTCTTAAATGTCTTCAATGTGCCCACTTCCACCACCTCTTCTGGCAGTGCATTCCAGCCTGCTGCCACTCTCTGTGTGAAAACCTTTCATCGCACATTTCCCTTAAACTTTCCCCCTCTTACCTTGTAATTGAAACTTCAACCCTGGGAAACAGTCTCTGACTATCCACCCTATCTATGCCTCAAAATTTTGTAGACCTCTATCAGGTCTCCTCTCAGCTGCCATATTTCCAGTGAAAACAATCCTAGTCTTTTTAAAATAACAAGGTGTGGAGCTGGATGAACACAGCAGGGCAGGCAGCATCAGAAGAGCAGGAAAGCTGACGTTTCAGGTCTGGACTCTTCTTCAGAAATGGGGGAGGGGAAGGGGGCTCTGAAATAAATAGAGGGGGTGGCGATGATAGAAGGTGGATAGAGGAGCAGATAGGTGGAGAACAGACGGACAGGTCAAGGAGGCGGGGATGAAACCAGTAAAGGGGAGTGTTAGGTAGGGAGTTTGGATGGGGGTTGGTCAGTGAGGAGAGAGGGGCGGGTAGGTGGGAGGAAGACGGACAGGTCAAGGAGGTGGGGATGAGGCTAGTAGGTAGGAAGTGGGAGTGGGGGGGGGGGTTGGTCAGTGAGGAGGGAGGGGCAGATAGGTGGGAGAAAAGACGGACAGGTCAAGGAGGCGGGGACAAGCTGGGCTGGTCTTGGGATGAGGTCGAGGGTGGGGAGATTTTGAAGCTTGTAAAGTCCACATTGAGACTATTGGGCTGCAGGGTTCCCATGCGGAATATGAGGTGCTATTCCTTCAGCCTTCGGGTGGCATTGTTATGGCACTGGAGGAGGATGGACATGTCGTCCAAGGAGTGGGAGGGGGAGTTGAAGTGGTTCATGACTGGGACGTGCAGTCGTTAGTCACGAACCGAGCGTAGATGTTCTACAAAGCAGTCCCCAAGCCACCATTTGGTTTCCACGATGTAAAGGAGGCCACATTGGGAACAGCGGATGCAGTATACCACATTAGCAGATGTGCAGGTGAACATCTGTTTGATGTGGAATGTTTTCTTGGGGCCTGGGATGGAGGTGAGATGTGAGGTGTAGGGGCAGGTGTAGCACTTCCTGATTGCAGATGGCGGAGAATGATGCGTTGAATCTGGAGGTTGATGGGGTGTCTTTTTAACTTTTCCTCATAGTCAATGCCCTGGAGACCAGGCAACATCCTGGTGAACCTTCTCTGTACTCTCTCCAAAGCTTCCACTTTGGCTACCTGTGTTGCCACTTTTAGGGAACTGTGGACCTGCACACCCAGATCCATCTGAATGTTAATGTTCCTAAGGGTTCCCCATTTACAGTATAATTCACACCTATATTTGATCTTCCAAAATGCATCACCTCACATTGTCTGGATTAAACTCCATCTGCCATTTCTGTGCCCAAGTCACCAATCTATCTATATCCTATTGGATACTTTCACAATTGTTGGCACTTTCAGCAACTCCATCAATCTTTGTGTCATCAGTAAACTTGCTTATCAGACCACCCACATTTTCCTCCTGATCATTTATATATACTACAAACAACAGAGGACCTAAGACTGACCCCTGTGGAACACCACTAGTTACTGGTCTCCATTCTGAAAAAAATATCTTTTAGGACCGAGACGAAAGGAAATGCCTTCACCCAGAGAGTGGTGAGCCTGTGGAATTCACTTCTACAGAAAGTGGTTGAGACCAAAACTTTGTGTTTTCAAGGAAATAGGTATAGCTTTTTTGGTTAAAGGGGATATTGTTTGTTTGTGTGGGGTGACGGGGGGAGGGAGAGGAAGGAAGAGGGCGGAATGGTACCATTGAGCTTGATGATCTGCCATGACCATATTGAATGGCATAGCAGGCATGAGGGTTCGAATGGCCTCCTCCTATTCCCATCTATGTTTCTACATTGTGTGGCTTTCCATTGCAATGTGCACCTCCAGTCCAGACAGTAGGCTCCCAACAAACCTTAAATTCAGAAGACAGCATCTGAATTTACACAGCACCTTTCATAATCTCAATGTCCTAAATGCTTTACAATAAATTAAGTTCTTTATTTTGAAGTATAATGTTGAACCTGTAGTGGCTGCTTTGTACATGCCAAGTTCCTACCAATAGCAATGTGATTCTGACAAAGTAAATGGTGTTAATGATGTTGGTGGAGAGATAGATATCAGCCAAGACGTAAAACACATCCTCCTAATTGTACCGTGGACAATGGGAATATTGGCTTGAATTGGCTATTACTGAGCCATGGCTACAAAGGTTTGTAAAATGCTAGTTTATCAAAGTTAATCTTGTGATTTCTTTACACAGCTAAAAATTCCATGCCTCGCTGGGGCACAGGTTCCCAGAGTACAGCTTCCATCCCTGTTACAGTTCTAGAGTAGGAGGTGGGTAAACACATTGTTCTTGTGTGAATGTAGGTGATAAGTTCTGGATTGGGCAAGGCTGCTGTGATGTGGATAACAGGTCTAGGAGCAGCAGCTGGAGCTGAACTGCACATCACTGAGATTTTCTAATCAACCTGTTCAGAGATGACATTACATACAGGTCAGAGGTAAGGTCACTACCACTGACACAAGAGACTTAAAATACATGCTAAGGAAGGAGATACTTTTCCCTAATCAAATTGGATGTAATAACACCTCTGGAGCAGGAAGACCTAACATCCCCATCTCAGAGGTAGGGCACTACAACTGCATCACAAGAGCTCTTCACGTGTCAGTGATTTTTGTTGAATTCAATCTCCACCATTGAGATGGCTCAGTGGTTAGCACTGCTGCCTCACAGCACCAGGGACCCTGCTTCAATTCCACCCTCAGCAACTATCTGTGTGGGGTTTGCATGTTCTCCCAGTGTCTGCATGGGTTTCCTCCCACAATCCTAAGATATGCAGGTTAGGTGGATATGCCATGGGAAATGCAGGGTTACAGTGATTGGGTAGGGGGTTGGGTCTGGGTAGGATGGTCTTTAGGGGATTGGTGTGGACTCAAGGGGCTGAATAGCCTGCCTCCACACTGTAGGGATTCCATGACTGGCCACTGCCTGGCTCTACTGGATTAATAGGCCATCTTTACTCCACTCCCACTCCCAGTATTGGGCCAACAATCTTCAGTTTGATGCTGTCCTCGCTGAGTTATTTCAGCTTGCCCTTGGCTATCAGTGAAAGCAAACAACCAGACAGCGTGCATCTGTCAGGGTTCATAAGGATTGGAGGTTCCGGATGAAGGCAAAATAATACATGCTGTGAAACAACTTGTTGAGGTAATAGCAGCAGAATTAAAAGGATGAATTTGTTGCAAGGATGGCATTGACAAAACACTGGATAGATTTTTATATGCAATAATTTAGTAAAACAATTACAAAATGTTGACATTTCAATTGTAGTTCAGTTTTATAACAAATATCAAGACCACCATCAATCTCCAGAATAAAATCATTAAATTCCTCAGTATTTGACTTGTGATCCATTAATAAATAATTGTACACAGTCCCTTATCTTAACACCCATAAATAAAATAGCACCACTTTCCTAAAGCGAAAACTCCAGAAATTCAATAAATAAATTATGATCAATACTGCACCCACCCTCCTCTCTAATCAGAAGAAACTGAGCTGCCCTCATTTTCTGAAAGCTAACAATAAGATTAAGGTATCTTCACAGCAGCAACTGAAAAGAATATTTCCTCTTTTGAGAGAATCTAGAAATAGGGATGACTGTTTAAAAATAAGGGATTACCCATTTAGGACAGAGATGAACAGCAACTTTCTCAGAGGGTCACGAGTCTTTGAGAAAGTGAATTCCAAAAGATGGCAGAAGTAGAGTCCTTGAATATTTTTAAGACAACAGGAGATAGATTCTCAATAAGCAAAGTGGTGAAAGTTTAATCGGGGATAGATGAGACTTTAGAGTAGTTAGATCAGTTGCAATCTTATTAAATGGTGGAGCAGCCTACCCCTCCTCATTCATCTCTTCACATGACTGTCGACTTATTCAAAGTCAGCTTTATATGCAAGTGATGTAATCGTTAACATTTACATTAAATTTTAGCTAATTGGAAGGACTGGGTAAATACTTGAAGGGAAAATTTTGCAGGTATTTGGTGAAGAGCAGGGGGAGTGAGACTAACTGAATAGCTGTTTCAGAGTTGGTCCAGACAATGGGCTGAAAGATTCACTGATTTTAATCAGATGCCAGTACACTTGCAGTTGTACTTTATACATGGTTTACAGTCAATATAAACTGCAGTCCTCTCAATGTGCCGCCTGCATTGGGGCTGCAGCTTCTTTCTGCTTAGCCCAGTGACCAGCTGGAGAGAAATAAAGCACAAAAATAATGGCTTCTTCATTCTTCAGGGGCTTACATGAACAGGGGAAACCCATTCAAATCTGCTGAGCCCATTGCACTAATTCAGTGTGGTCACAGCTGATCTGTATCCTAACTGCAATCCTCCTGCGTCATGCTCCACATTCCTTATTGTCCTTGACAACCAAATCTAAAATTATTAACTGAGCTAGTACCAACTGTTTTGAGACAGCAACTTTCACATTTCCCCACCTTGTGCGTGAATATTCATTAACTACATTCCTGATGAGTGAAGATTGATTTCAGGGACATGTTCCTTCGTCCTAGGCTCCCTCATCAGCAGAGGAGTTTATTTAACTACACTATTAATTAAATACCCAAGTAAAAACACTCTTAACCTTCTCCATTCTAGGGAAAAATGACTAGTTTAAGTAATACTTCCTCATAATCTAACTTTTGGAGACTTAGTATCTTGAATGTTTGCTGCACACCTTCCAAGGCCAATATATTGTAGAGGTGCAGTGCACAGAAAGCTTTGTACAACTGTGGCACAACTCCCCTTTATTGTTTTTAAAAGACTTATTATAATGACCTGTTTATGTAGCCCCAATTATTTGACTGACTGAGTTTTTTTTCTGGTATCTATTCCATCTGCTTGGACGTTTTATCTGACTGTAGTAGGGGAGATATTCAGAGTCACTATTGTCAGATTGAGATGACTCCTCACTGGAAAACAGACTTCTGTTGGAGCTGTTGTACAGGGGCATCCGATCACCAGGAGCTCGCTGAGGTCTTTTACGGAGCAACCATGGTAAGGTGCATGGATTTTGCTCGGAGTTATGTCCTGTGCAATTATCCGCCTCACTGAACTGGCAATGGTCCCTACCTCCACTCAAACCGTTCCTCCGTAAACTCCATTTGTTGGATAGCGATGATCGGTCATTCTCGTCAGCAGTTAGTCTGAACAGGAAAACCTTAGGTTGGAACAGGCGAGAGTGTAAAAGTGATGTTTGTACCTCCAGTGAGATTGGGGCTGCTGTTAGTGCCTTCAGGTCAATGGCATTTTGTCCACGCTGGTTTAGTGACAGTGATCCTGAATCAGGCAAGTTGCCACAATGTTCTTGGCCAGGGGAAGATGTGCTGAAGTAGGATTTACCAGCACAAAGATCAGCATTTAACCCCAGTCTTTTGGAACTGATTGTTTGTGACAGAGATTCATTGGCCTGGGTCTGGATTGAGGGGCACACTGGGACTGGGCTGGTGCTGTTAACCTGAGATTGGAGTGGGTTGGGAGGAGACAACTTCCTCATACAATCTTCAAACTCTTCATCACACGACTGGTCAAAATGGAAAGCAGAGAAGGCCAGCCTTTGGCTTTGAGCCAAAGGGGAGGCGTGCTCCCTGTTGTCCTCCCTCTCCATGGCAGCTCCTTGTCCATTTCTCAGGCTATACAACCTCATGCCAATTCCTCCCATCTCTGTCCGGTTCACAGTTTCCTCAACTTCATCTGCCATTTCAGGGCATTCCAGCCCTTGCTCTGTAACCTTCTCTTTACACTCTTCCTGATGTTTCATATTGCTACTGGGTGGCTGAGAATTATTCCCTTCTCCTTTCACCTGGGGTTCCCTAGTTATTTGTTCTGCTTCAATGCAATAGCCTTCACTCAGGACAGTGTGTGTTGAGGAGCTGGTCATAGGAACTCCAAACAGTGTCTCACTGTTACTCCAGTCGACATCTGAAAGACAATAAATATGTTTCAGCAAGTCAGCACTGCTTTAGAATTGAGTCTCTTGTTAAACATAGAAATAAACATGCAAGTGTGGATACTGGAAATCAGAAACGCAAACTGAATGCTGGAGACAGAGCAAAGGGTCACTAGACTCAATGTTTATAGCTTTTCTCTCATCACCTGTTGCCAGACCTGCTGTATTTACCCAGCATTCTCTATTCTTTGCCAGTTTTATCCTTAGAGGAAAGACTGAGTAATGCTCTCTCTACTCTTTTAAACTGAAAGTAAAGCTCCTCAACACTGTCCCCATCAAACACTCCCAGGACAGGGACAACATGGGGTTAGATGCAGCATCTATTTTTCATTAATTCAGTAGGTGTCACTAGCTGTTCTGTTCTGCCATTCAAGGAGATCATGGCTGACCCTGATAATCAACAACTCCACATTCCTGCCTTATCCCAATTAACCCTTAGTCCCATTACTGATGCCAAAGCTGGAGAAACATTACTGTATGGGAACAGCAAGTTCTGGAGCATGTCTTCAGTACTGTTGCCAGAATGTTGTCAGGGCCCATTTTGCAGTATCCAGTGTCTCCAACCATTTCTTGATATTGCATGTGAAATAACTTCTCAGCAGTCAGTATTGCGTTACCAAGTCACCCTTGACACTGATCCAGCTCCCTCAAAGACAGCTCTCAGAGTGAGCAGGATGTCTGACACTCCTGTTTTTAATCTGTCAGCCAGGGCTCCCTGATTGGACCAGATTAACAGCCGCAATAAGAGAACTCATTGTATGAAATACACCCAGCTAACCTCGTTACAATCACTACAATGTGGAGTGAATCAAATTGGCTGAAGACTAGTATCTTGTGATGCTGGGTATCACCAGAGGAGGCTGAGATGGATCATCCACTCGGCACTTCTGGCTGAAGATTGCTGTGAAAGCTTCAGCCTTATCTTCTGCACTGATGTGCTGGGCTCTTCCATCGTTGAGGATGGGGATATTTGTGGAGCCACCTCCTTCAGTGAGTTGTTTAATTGTCCACCACCATTCACAACTGGATGTGGCGGGACTGCAGAGCTTAGATCTGATCCATTGGTTGTGGGATTGCTTAGCTCTGTCTATCACTTGCTGCTTTCGCTGTTTGGTGTGCAAGTAGTCCTGTTTGGTAGCTTCATCAGGTTGACACCTCATCTTCAGGTATGCCTGGTGCTGCTCCTGCTCCTGGCATGCCCCCCTGCACTCTCCATTGAACCAGGGTTGATCCCCTGCCTTGATGGTAATGGTTGAGTGGGGGATGTGCCGGGCCATGAGGTTACAGATTGTGCTGGAGTACAATTCTGCTGCTGTCGATGGCCTACAGCGCCTCCAGGACGCCCAGTCTTGAGTTGCTAGATCTGTGTGAAGTCTGTCCCATTTAGCACGGTGATAGTGCCACACAACACGATGGAGGTTATGCTAAATGTGAAAGTGGGACTTTGTCTCCACTAACTGCCCGTCCCTAGCTGCCCCTTGGGAAGGTGGGGGTGAGCTGCCTTTTTGAACCACTGCAGTCCATGTGCTGTGAGTTGACCCTGAATGCCCTTAGGGAGGGATTTCCAGGATTCTGACCCAGCTACACTGAAGGAATGGCCATATATTTCCAAGAATGATGAGCGGTTTGGAAGGGAACTTGAAGGTGGTGATGTTCCCATCTTACTTCCTCTAAGCAAAGAGTAGGGGTAAATGGGGGTTTTTCTGGTTGGTGGTCAGTGGCTAGCGGTGTGCCTCAGGGATCAGTGTTGGGACCTCAATTGTTTACAATTTACATAGATGATTGGGAATTGGGGACTAAGTGTGGTGTGTCAAAATTTGCAGATGACACTAAGGTGAGTGGTAGAGCAAAGTGTGCAGAAGACACTGAAAGGCTGCAGAGGGATATAGATAGTCTAAGTGAGTGGGCAAAGGTCTGGCAGATGGAGTACAATGTTGATAAGTGTGAGGTCATCCATTTTGGTAGGAATAACAGCAAAATGGACTATGTTTTAAATGGTAAAAAATTGCAGCACGCTGCTGTGCAGAGGGACTTGGGTGTCCTTGTGCATGAATCGCTGAAGGTGGGATTGCAGGTGCAGCAGGTGATTAAAAAGGCAAATGGAATTTTGTCTGCCATTGCTAAAGGGATGGAGTTGAAAAACAGGGAGGCTATGCTGCAGCTGTATAGGGTCCTGGTGAGGCCACACCTGGAGTACTGTGCGCAGTTTTGGTCTCCTTACTTGAGAAGAGATATACTAGCACTGGAAGGGGTGCAGGGGAGAGTCACTCGGTTGATTCCAGAGTTGAGAGGTTTGGATTATGAGGAGACACTGAGTAGACTGGGATTATACTCATTGGAATTCAGAAGAATGAGGGGAGATTTTATAGAAACATAAGATTATGAAGGGAATAGATAAGGTGGAGGCAGGGAGGTTGTTTCCGCCAGCAGGTGAAACTAGGACTAGAGGGCATTGCCTCAAAATAAAGGGAAGCAGATGTAGGACTGAGGTCAGGAGGAACTTCTTCACCCAAAGGGTTGTGAATCTGTAGAATTCCCTGCCCAGTGAAGCGGTTGAAGCTACCTTGCTGAATGCGTTTAAGGCAAGGCTAGATAAATTTTTGACCAGTAAAGGAATTAAGGGTTATGGTGAGTGGGCGGGTAAGTGGAGCTGAGTCTCAAAGATCAGCCATGATCTTATTAAATGGCAGGGCAGGCTCGAGGGGCCAAATGGCCTACTCCTGCTCCTAGTTCTTATGATCGCATTGTTCAACATGGAGGAGTATGGATTCAATAGCTGAGGGAGGACGGTATGTGATAATCAGCAGGAGGTTTCCTTGCTCAGGTTTAACCTGAAGCCATGAGACTTCATGGGGTCCAGAGTCAATGTTGAGGAATCCCAGAGCACCTACCTCCCAAATGAATATCACGGCCAACAACAACAACATCAACAACAACAAAACCAAAGCTGCTGGAAAAGCTCAGCAGGTCTGGCAGCACCTGTGAAGGAAAAATCAGAGTTAATGCTTTGGGTCCGGTGACCTTCCTGTTTTTCTCCTTCACAGATGCTGCCAGACCTGCTGAGTTGTTCCAGAAACTTTGTTTTTGTTTCCGATTTACAGCAGCCGCAATTCTTTCATTTTTTTATTTTGTATATCACGGCTGGTGGGACAGGACATATCCAGGGACGTTGATGGTGGTGTCTGGGACATTGTCATACTCATGGAATCATACCTTACAGGCTGTTGCTTAACTAGTCTGTGAGACAGCTCTCCCAATGCTGGCAATAGCTAAAATCGTTAGTGCGGATGACTTTGCAGGGTCGACAGGCCCGTTTCTGCCGTTGTCAGTTCCGGTGCCTCGGTCGATGCCAGATGATCCCCCTTTCAGGTTTCATTCCTTATTTGCACTAGAAATGTTGGGAGTGTTTCTGAATCAACATCAGTTTCAGGCACTGAGTTCCAGACTCCCATCACCCTGTGAGTGGAAAACACTCTTACATTTCCTCTTGGTTTTTTTTGTCTCTTCCACATGCAAGTAGGGAGTCTCTATTCCAGTGCGACGTGCCTGCGTTAGGGTGGGCAAACTGTTCCATAGCTCCATTTGGATATTACCAGAGGGAATTTAAAGACTGCACCACGTGTTTTCGCACTGGAACCACAAGCCTGTGCAGACTGGTAAGGACAGCAGTTCCTTTCTAAAGTTGATTGAACTATTGAAATCTTTATTTCCAGAATCTTCAAACTGATCACAACTAGCCATGGTGGGATTTGAACTCATGACCCTGGGACTATTGATCCAGGAACAGAGAGTTTGTCCCACCTGCAGAGGGCTGGGATGGAGACAGTAAAAGAGAACTCACTGGTTAGATCCTGGTTCTGTTGCTCCCGGAGTCGCTGCATTAGCATTAGCAGCACATCAGAGACAGGCATGGGGGTACTGGCCAGGACAGACAGAAGGCTCTGCTCTGTTAATGACAGGCTTCCAACATTGACACCAGCAGCCAGCAGCTGTTGAGGCAAAGAGAAAAGGAGATAGTGTTAAAAGCAGCCCAATGGCTGTCATCAATGGACCGTGTAGATGAACTACGCTCCCACACACACACACACACCCCTTACTGGAAGTAGCACATACTATGACCAACTGAAGACGTGAAGATAAGAAATAGGAGCAGCTGCCTGTTCTGCCATTCATTATATTCACAGATGATCTGATCTTGAACTCAACATGTGCCTATCTGTCCCTCATAATCCTTGACTTCCTGATATTGCCAAACCCTGAACATATACAAGGCTGAGTTATACAGTACATTAACCTCCGTCGACTGCTCTCTGAGGAACAGAATTCCGAACACGAATGGTTGAGGAGAGAAATTGCTCCTTATTTTCATACTGAGAGATCTCTTACTCTGAAACAGTGCCCCCTAGTTCTAGATGCCCATATCCCACAAGTGATTAAAAAGACTGGGTAAGGATGGCAGATTTCAATCCATAAAAAGGACACTGTAAAGCAGGTGAGTTTTTAATAACAATCTTGTTATTTTGTAGTCACCTTACTGATTCCAGCTTTGAAATTCTGGATTTCTTGAACAAGTTGAACTTAAACAGCCAAGCTGCTGCAGTGGGATATGAACTCTTGCCTCTGGATTATTAGTGCAGTGACATTACTACATTCAGGAGGCTGAGGGGGTGATAGAGAAGAGTTATAAGGAGGTGGTCACACCCAAGGTACAGGAAAAAGGTAGCTGAGTGACTGTCAGGAAGGGGAAAGGGAAGAGGCAGACAGTGCAGGGATCCTGCTTTGGATACTGTTGGGGCGGGGGGGGGGGAACGACCTACCAGGGGAAGGCCATAGCGGACAGGTCTCTGGCACTGAGCCTGACCCTGTGACACAGAAGGGAAGGGGGGAGAATAGGAGAGCAAGTGTAGTGGGGGATTTGATAGTAAGAGGCACAGACAGGCGGTTCTGTGGACGCGAGCGAGATGAACGGATGGTATGTTGCCTCCCGGCTGCCAGGGTCCGTGACGTCTCAGATCATGTCTTCAAGATCCTTAAGGGGGAGGGCCAGCAACCAGCAGTCATGGTACACATCAGTACCAATGACATAGGTAGAAAAAGGACTGAGAATGTGAAAAACGAGTACAGGGAGTTAGGTTGGAAGCTGAAGTCCAGGACAAACAGGGTAGTTATCTCTGGATTACTACCAGTGCCACATGATAACGAGGTAAGAAATAGGGGGAGAGTGCAGCTAAACACGTGGTTACAGGGCTGGTGTAGGAGGGAGGGCTTCCATTATGTGGATAATTGGAGCACGTTCTGGGGAAGGTGGGACCTGTACCATAAGGACGGGTTGCACCTGAACCAGAAGGGCACAAATATCCTGGGAGGGAGGTTTACTCGAGCTATACGGGATGGTTTAAACTAGATTGGCAGGGGGTGGGGAACTGGATTTGTAATTCAGAGGATGAGGTATTCAGCCTTCCAACAGACACAACAGGGAGTGAGGTTGTTAATAAAGAAATGTGGTCGATGGAGCTTAATTGTGGACAGCGGAATGATTTGAAGTGTGTATACTTCAATGCCAGAAGTATCAGAAATAAGGCAGATGAACTTAGAGCATGGGTCAGTACTTGGAACTACGATGTTGTGGCCATTTCAAAAAGTTGGGTAACTCAGGGACAGGAATGGTTGTTGGAAGTTCTGGGATTTAGATGCTTTAAAAGAAATAGGGAGGGTGGTAAAAATGCCAGCGGAGTGGCATTGCTAGTCAGGGCTAGTATAGCAGTTACCGAAAGGCAGTTCGAGAATGATATGTCTACAGAGTCAGTTTGGGTTGAGGTCAGGAACAAGAAAGGAGCAGTCAGTTTGTTGGGGGTTTTTTACAGACCCCCTAATAGTTGCAGAGAAGTGGAAGAGCAGATTGGGAGGCAGATACTGGAAAGGTGCAGAAGTCACAGGGTTGTAGTCGTGGGTGACTTCAACTTTCCAAATATTGATTGGAAGCATTTTAGTTGTAATAGTTTAGATGGAGCAGATTTTGTCCAGTGTGTTCAGGAAGGATTCCTGGCACAGTACGTAGATAGACCAACACGAGGAGAGGCCACTTTAGATTTGGTGCTTGGCAATGAACCGGGCCAAGTGTTAGACCTGTTGGTAGGAGAGCGTTTTGGCAATAGCAATCATAACTCTGTTACTTTTACAATAGTCATGGAAAAGGATAGGTACATACAGCAGGGTAAGGTTTATAATTGGGGGAAGGGTAATTATAATGCTGTTAGGCAAGAACTGGGTAACAGAAAATGGGAACAGATGCTATCAGGGAAGAGCACTATAGAAATGTGGAGATTGTTTAAGAAATGCATACCGCATGTGATCGATATGTTTGTCCCTAGCAGGCAGGGAAGATGCGGTCGAGTGAGGGAGCCTTGGTTATGGAGAGAGGTCGAACGACCGGTTAAGAGGAAGAAGGATGCTTATATAAGGTTTAGGAAGCAAGGAACGGAAAAGGATCTAGAGTGATACAAGTTAGCTGAAGAAAGGGCTTAGGAGAGCAAGAAGGGGGCATGAGAAAACCTTGACAGATAGGATCAAGGAAAACTCCAAGGCTTTTTAACACGTACGTGAGGAATAAGAGAATGACCAGAGAAAGGGTAGGGCCAATCAAGGATTGTAAAGGGAATTTGTGCACAGAGCCTAAAGAGATAGGAGAGGTCCTTAATGAATACTTTTCTCCGGTATTCACAACTGAGAGGGACCTAGTTGCAGGGGAGGACAGCGTGAAACAGGCTGGTAGGCTCGAGGTGGTCGATGTTAGTAAGGAAGATGTAGTCGGAATTTTGGAGGAACTTGAAGGTAGATAAGTCTCCCAGGCCTGATGGGATTTATTCAAGGATTCTATAGGAAGCGAGGGAAGAGATCGCAGGACCTTTGGTGATGATCTTTTCATCCTCACTGTCCAAGGGTATAGTGCCGGAAGACTGGAGAGTGGCAAACATCATTCCCTTGTTCAAAAAAAGGGAATAGGATAACCCTGGAAATTACAGACCAGTTAGTCTTACGTCAGTGGTGGGCAAATTATTGGAAAGGGCTCTGAGAGATAGGATTTATGATCACTTGGAAAGGCACAGTTTGATTCGCGATAGTCAGCATGGATTTTTGAGGGGAAGATCATGCCTCACGAACCTTATTGAATTCTTTGAAGAGGTGACCAAACACGTGGATGAAGGTAGAGCAGTGGATGTGGTATACATGGATTTAAGTAAGCCGTTTGATAAGGTTCCCCATGGTAGGCTCATGCAGAAGGTAAGGAGGCACGGGATAGGAGGAAATGTGGCAGATTGGATTCAGAATTGGCTGACCCTTAGAAGACAAAGGGTGGTAGTGGATGGAAAATATTCAACATGGTGATCAGTTACGAGTGGTGTACCACAAGGATCTGTTCTGGGTCCTCTTCTATTTGTGATTTTTGTAAATTATTTGGATGTAGGAGTGGAAGGGTGGATTAGTAAGTTCGCGGACGATACGGACAGTGCGGAGGGCTGTTCTAGGTTACAAAGGGACATTGATAGGATGCAGAGCTGGGCTGAGAAGTGGTAGATGGAGTTTAACCCTGAAAAGTGTGAGGTGATTCATTTTGGAAGAACAAACTTGAAAGCAGAGTACAGGGTTAATGGAAAGATTCTTGGCAGTGTGGAGGAGCAGAGGGATCTTGGGGTTCATGTCCACAGTTCCCTGAAAGCTGCCACTCAGGTGGATAGAGTTGTTAAGAAGGCGTATGGTGTGTTAGCTTTCATTAATAGAGGGATTGAGTTCAAGAGCCAAGAAGTTGTGCTGCAGCTATACAAAAGCCTGGTTCGGCCCCATCTGGAGTATTGTGTCCAGTTCTGGTCGCCTCATTACAGGAAAGATGCGGAAGTGTTGGAAAAGGTGCAGAGGAGATTTACTAGGATGTTTCCTGGAATGGAGGGAAAGTCTTACGAGGAAAGGTTGAGAGAACTAGGGCTTTTCTCTTTAGAATGACAAAGGATGGGAGGTGACTTGATAGAGATGTACAAAATGATCAGAGGTGTAGATAGAGTGGACAGCCAGAGACTTTTTCTTAGGGTGGAGGTAGCTATTACGAGGGAGCATAGTTTTAAAGTGAGTGGAGGTAGATATAGGGGAGACGTCAGAGGTAGATTCTTTACTCGGAGTGGTCGAGGCGTGAAATGCATTGCCGGAGAGGGTAATGGAGTCGGCCTTATTAGGGGCATTTAAGTGTCTATTAGATAGGCATATGGATGATAGTATAAGGTAGGGGAGTGGAGGTTAGATAGACCTTAGGTTTAGGGTAAAAGTTTGGCACAACATGGTGGGCCAAAAGGCCTGTACTGTGCTGTACTATTCAATGTTCTATGTGGATTACTCCTTCACAACTCTTCCAGTGTCAAAATGAACAAACTGAGTGTAGAGTCAGTGCAAGGACAGCCTGAGGATATTTCATTGTGAACTATCTGGAATTGCTCTACACAGATTCATACAATCAAAAAGTCTGGGAAACTGTAGCTGAAAATAGCTGGCTGGAAACAGAGTGCAGCTTCAGTTAGAGTGAACAACAGGGGGTGCTCTTGGTTACTTGATCAATCCTTGGTTCAGGTAGGATGCTCTCCAACCTCTCCAGGAACTCCCACAGCAGTCTCCGAGTCGAAGCCATGAACAAGCTGCCAAATTCCTCCTCCAGTTCATCCTGCACAGACCAGAAAACTGGGTCAGATCATCCCCCCTAGTGGGACTAAGCTGATACAAGATACAACCCAAACACAGATTAGAGACACAAGGTGCATCATTAGTGTGGAGATTATACTGTGCAGCTGGGATCTCAGGCTTACATATTGGGACTGCTGCTGTGCCATGCTTGCTAAGATCTGGCGTGGGTTACATCAGGTCACAAATCCTATGCCAACTGTGCAGTTTTCCACAAGCTTGGCAGATGTAGCAGCACCCACTGCCGAGTACTGGCACAGCTGGGACCTTTAGAGAGTGGCACTTCCTCCCATTGAAAGGTTTAAGTTCCACACTCGGCTTCCACAGCTGCCAGCAGCATGTTTGTGCTGTGGCTCAGCTTTTACTAAATTGGTGGATTCTTAAATGTCTTTTGTAACTAACCTGTAAAATTCACCCTTTTACCTGTGAAACAAATACATTATGATTCACTGGCAGCCTTATCTTATTCAGTGCTGGATTCCTATTCACCTAAAACCTAACTCCATCCAGGTTTTGCAAGAAACACATGCAGTTATTCCATTCCAGTCAAGCAATGGGACCATGATGAAAGGTTTCAGCCCAAAACATGGACTTCCCTGCTCCTCGGATGCTGTCTGACCTGCTGTGCTTTTCCAGCTCCACATTTAGTGACTCTAACTTCCAGCATCTGCCGTCCTGACTGTCTCCAAGTGATTGGACCAAGTTGCTGAAATTTACAGTCTCCAGCTGGGGGACACGGAGGGCTGAGGACACTCACGTGGTTCAGGACAGCAGCATGGGAGCGCCGCACCGTCGGGGGCGAGGGCAGCACCTAGGGAGCACCGCATTGACGGTGGGGGGGGGGGGCTGCGGGGTTGAGGCCTGGAATACGGACGGGGAATAAGGTGGGATTGCCTTGCTGCAGATCACCAGGTGTGAAGGGGTGTTCAGAAAACAAGAGGGACCTCTTATCTCCTCCCAGTTAAAGAACTGGCGACTGGTGACCAACACCAGCAGAAGCTGTTAACGCCCAACAGGAGACTGGGGGCTGTCTCAGATACCAGGAGAGGGCGAGGAAGGGATATTGCAGGAGCACCAACCAAGAGAAATGAAACCAAAATTCTGCTAGAAGCAGCTGAGCAAACCATGACTGCTCCCGTTCTTCAGCCCATCGGGCCAGGAAATGCACCAACAATGGGCCAGTGACCTGTTCCCCAGGGTGGGGGCAGAGGGAGGAGGCGGCTCAGCGGGACAGGGATCAGAGTTCAGAGTTCAATCTGGTTTACTGCTTGTACCTGCAGGAACTGTTCCCGGTAAACGTCATCCCGGACCAAGAGTAGAACCAGTTTGCGGAATTGCAGCCGGCACTGTCGCTCCTTCCAAACATCTCTCCGGGCCTTCACCGGAATTAAACATGAAAACACCACAATCAGCACTTACCACAGACTCACTCCCCTCGTTTTCTCCCTCCGACCCTGCACACACACTGCACTCTGCTTCCCCCCACACACACTCACTATACACCCCCACCCTTGCCAGCCCATGCACCAAGCCCCCAACCTCCCCATTCTGTCCCTCTGGTGTAACACACAGCAAAGTCTGCATTGGGCAGTGGGGAGGTGGCTGCTGGTGTGAATGGAGAAAGGTGATGAGGTGAGCGTCAATAAAAGGACAATGCTTAAACACAAAACTCCCAATGTCCTGCACTAGATTTATGGCCATTTTCTCAGGGATGGAAGGAGGGTTAGCCGAGACAGAAACAATTTACAACTTACTGCCTGGGGGTCCGCTGCAACTATTTTGGGGAAATATCGCTCAAGAGTCTGAAGAATATCCAACAAATTCCGTCGTTTCACAAACATCTCCATCAACAGCTGCACAGGGAGAGCAATGGAGAGAGAAGCCTCAGTATTGTTCTTCATCACAGAAACATCAGGCAACCCATCAGACAGGCTCACCTCCTGGCCCAGTCAGCTTCACAACCCAGCCATTCGGCCAGTCAGCCAATCCTCGATCTGTGCCAGTGCCTTCCCCCTAACACCATGGGCTGTTATCTTATTTAGCAGCCTCCTGTGTGGCACCTTGTCAAAGACCTTCTGGAAATCCAAACAGATCCCATCCGCTGGATCTCCTTCGTCTAACTTGCTTGTTACCTCCTCAAAGAATTCAAACAGATTTGTCAGGCATGGCCTCCCCTTGATGAAGCTGTGCTGACTTTGCCCTATTTTACCCGGCACTTCCAAGTACTCTACAATTTCATCCCTAATAACAGACTCTAACATCCTACCAATGACAGAGGGAGACTAACCGACCTATAGTTTCCTGTCTTCTCGCACTCTCCCTTCTTAAACAGGGAGGGGGGTTATGTTAGCCATTTGAGTCCTCTGGGACCTTCTGACTCCAGTGATTCCTGAAAGATCACCACCAATACCTCTACAATCTCCCTAGCTATCTCCTTCAGGACTCTGGGGTGTAGTCCATCTGGTCCAGGCGATTTACCCACCTTCAGACTTTTCAGCTTCTTCTCCTCAGTGTTTGCCACTGCACTCACCTCTGTCCCTGACTCTTTTGAAGTTCTGGCACATTACATCAGTTTTCCCAGTGGAAGACACCAGCAAAGTACCTATTCAGTTCCTCTGTCATTTCTTTGCTCCCCATTAATACTCCTTCAGACTCATTTTCCAGCAGTCCAATTTCCACTCTTGCCTCCCATACCTTTTAGATATCTAAAAAAAAAACTCTTGCAATCTTCTTTTATATTACTAGCTAACGTACCCACATATTTCATCTTTTTCCCACTGATTGCTTCAGTTTTTCTCTGCTGGTGTTTACACGTTTCCCAATCATCATTACCACATTGTATGCTTGATCTTTAGCTTTTATACTGTCCCTGTCTTCCCTTGTCAGCCATGGTTGCCTCATCCTCCCTATACTATGTTTCTTCTTCCATGGGATGAATTTCTGCTGTGCCTCCTGGATTACCCACAGAAACTCCTGTCATTGCTGCTCCACCGTCTTCCCTACTAGACTCCCCTTCCAATCAATGCTTGGCAGGTCCTCCCTTATGTCTTTGTATAGTTTCCTTTACTCAATTGTAATCCCATTAGAGATAGTAGGAACTGCAGATGCTGGAGAATCCGAGACAACAAGGTGCAGGGCTGGATGAACACAGCAGGCCAAGCAGCATCATAGGAGCAGAGAGGCCCGAAACGTCAGCCTCTCTGCTCCTATGATGCTGCTTGGCCTGTTGTGTTCATCCAGCCCTGCA